TGTTTTGTTTTTTCAGCTGGCTGGTACGATACTCATGTATTTGGAATTTAAGTGTAGTCCAAGCATTTAAAGAAAGGGGCTTTTAAGTGCAAAAAACAGATTCTGATATTTTGTTCTGCAGTTTCATGTGGGGATTGGGAATGGAGGGATACAAATGTTGGTCAGTCTTATCTTTATGGGGGTCTGAGATCCAAGTGACAATCTGTTGTTGTTCTCAGTGTCTTTTTGTCTTTTTGTTTTTCAAGGGATGACATCAGCTACTTTGACAGCAGTTTGAGTGGTGAGAATGACTGGGTAGGCCCATCTAGACAGATTCCAGGGTCTGGGCAAGGGTCCTTTTTACAAACCAAGTCTCCTGGTTGGAACTGTTGGGCAGGTTCAGAAATGGAAGACAGCAGGATTCCCTTCCCAGTCTGGTCACTAGCCTGGTGAGCTTTCTGCAAAGCCTGTAAAGAAAAAGAACCTGGTCTAAGGAGTTCAGCAGTTTTTGTGGTTCCTAGCAGGGGGACTTGGAGATCATAGCCAGTGGCCTTTCTAAGCTCTCAGGAAGGCTGGGTCTGTCACCCAGCAGCATCCACTATCCTTGTCTATTCTGTTGGTCAGTCCTTGTTTCAACCAGTCAGACTCACCCCTGAGTATATTTCAGGTGGTCCAGAATGATAATTGGACTCCAGCAGAGCTACCAAGCCTCAAAGAGACCCCACTGATTCTAGGGCTATTTCCCATGCAGTCAACTCAGCTGCTCTGTTCCCCTTCTGAGAAATCCCCTCTTTCCAATAGATAATGGCTACCCTCTTGGGTAATCAGATAGCTTCTAATAGGACTAATATTTCTTTTTTCCTGTTGAGGTCAGCAATCTTCTCTCCCCTGAGCCCATGGACATGGGCCATGGTGAAAGCATATCAGTTACCAGTGTATATGTTTTCTCCCCAATGGGGTGTGGAAGTCAAAGCTAAAGGTCAGCTCTGTGAGCTAAGGTGAACCTGCTTAAAGATTGTGCCCAGAAAGTCCAATCTTGGATCACCACTGCTTGATCCTTGCATACCTGATCCCATTTTGGTTGAAACTTCTCCCATCTCTAAGTCTGGTGTCACCAACAGGATGTCAGTCAAATCAGGCTGAAAAATTGCATCATGCAGGGGACACACAGGGTCATCATCTGACAGGAGACTGATAGGGTTGAGGGTTGATAGCTTGTGGAACCAAATAAGAGGTTGATCCAGAAGCAGGGTTTGTTATTGGGTCACCCAAACATTAGACATCCATCTCTTAGGTTCCCTTCTCAAAAGGGTCTTAACACAGTGTGAGACTGTCTGGAACAGTTTGTGCACTAAAATTAAATTTGTCAGGTTTTTTGTTTGCTTGTTTTTACCATCAGGGAATTAGCAACTATGACCCTACACACACTGGCCATCCAGCTATGACTGGGTCAAATCCCTTGGATAGATATGCCACTGGTCTTTCACAGGATCCCAGGGTTTGCATATGAGGACCCACTAGGCAATGCCTCTGGTCTTATCCACGTGTAAGAGAAATGTCTTAGTAATGTCTGTGAGGGCCAAAGCTGGGGCAGGATCTTTATTAAGGCCTCAAAGGCCCCATCCTCTGTCTCAGTTCATTCCAAAGGCTACATACCCCTGGTCTTGGCCATCTCAGCAAATAGCCTGCAGTATCCGCCAACCCCCAGGAATTCCCACACTTCTTTGTTGTTTTGTTTTCTGATGTGGGCGGGATCTGCAGGATGGCTGGATTGTGGTATTGGGAAGTGTCTGCTTTCCTTCATCTAGGCTATAGTCTAGGCATGTGACCTGAAGGATGGACAGCTGAGTCTTCTCGACTGAGACTCTCTCTCTCTGGGATCGGAGGACTACTAAAAGCCATTCTGCTGCCTGGCCACACTCCTCCTCATTGTTCAGAGCCACGAGGCCAGCTGCACACACTGGAGCAGGGTGCTTTGTGGGTATTATTTGTCTAAATTCCAACAGATCTGCACTCAGGGCCCTGACAAACAGTGCTAGTGAGACCCGAATCCCTTCTCATTGTGTTTGTTTCATTTCTCTCTTGTTTCCCCAGGGACAGATGTCACACACGAGAGCTTCCTTCCCTGCCTTCAACCTCGGCTGTTGTGAACTTCCTGAGCAATTTCTGAAAGTTGAGATCTATTTATTCCTGCAAATACCTCTAATTTTTGGAGCTTTCGCCTTACATCTGGAGCCAGCTGCATGACAACAGCAGTATCAGTGGTTTGCTTGTTTTGGGGAGCATCTGGGTCTATATGGGTAAATACCCAATTTGTGTCACAGAGCCTTTCCAGAAACCGAGAAGGCAATTCATCAGGTCCTTGAGTAACCTGATACTTTTCATCCTTCTGTTTGTTAAAGAAAATCCTCCAAAGCCCTCTTACCTTAGAAGTTTCCAATGGGTTGTTTTTAACAGGCTCTAAAGGCCAGCAGCTTCTCCAAAGATGGAGGGTTTGGGGTCTTCCACTTCCATACATTACTGGGACATAAACTGTGAAAGAGCTGAACTTCTACTCTTCTCCTGCAGCAGGACTGAGAACAGGCATAAATTTTGGGTTTCTCTGGGTGACCTAGCTGCACCAAAAGTATTTGAGTCATCAACAAGAGGACACAAGTCTTAAGCCAACAGTGTATCTTGCACCACAGAAGTCATTAGTTATGATAGTTAAATTGGTGGCTGTAGTTGGTATACATATATGCACGTGTATATATGCATGAAAATACTCAAAGAAATGCATAAAATTTTAAGTTATACACTAAATATCAATTTTAATCTTTGATGATCCCCAAAGCCACTCCTTTGTATCCTATATAGTCTTGAATCAATTTTCTATTAGAGTTAGCTATTTAGAGCTTATTAATTACTAAAATACACCAGTTATCTGCAAGAATTCCTGCACTTGCTGCCTCCTTTTGCAGAACTCATAGGACTTGAACTAGAAATAGAAACAGAACTGAGTACCAATCTTCTCAACATAGTTTTACAATTTCTTTTCAAACTTTCAGAGCAGTGAGTGTATCTTTCATTCCAGAGATACTGAGAGAAATTACTTTGGACACACTCTTATGTGAAGCAAATGCAATGCCGATCTATAGGATATCTGCGGACAGAAACAAAAGTCAAAGAGAACAGTCCCAAACGTGGGCAACAAAGCATTCCATTGCTTGTAAAATGAAAGGGACCTTGCCCAAGTAATTAACGTGTGTGCTCCAGCATTCCCAACAGGGACCACTGTTCGTGCTCTGCAATGAAAACTATCAACTATTTCTAGCACCACATAGTTTTCTCATAAAAAGGTATATGTGCTGTGGTTGTTTGAGTAAGAATGGACCCATAGCCAGGCTGTAGTAGCACATGCCTTTAAGGCAGGCAGATCTCTGTGAATTTGAGGCCAGGTCTGTCTATAAAGCTAGTCCAGGACAGTCAAAGATAAAGAAACTCTGCCTCGAAAAATTAAAACAACAAAAAGTACCCCATAGGCTGTTATAACGTTTGAGCAGGATGAGGTATGGCCTTGTGAAGAAAGTGTCACTGGAGATTGTAGGCTTTTGAAACCTTCAAGCTTTCCTTTTCTCTGCTAGCAGATCAGGATGTAGCTCTCATCAACTTCTCCAGGTCCATGCCTGCCTGCATGATGTCATGCTCTCTGCCATGCTAATAGACTAAGCCCCTGAAAATTAAGCAACTCTTTTTAAGAGTTGGGTTGATCAGAACCTGCCCAATGCCATTAACATCTACCTGGGTCTGCCCTGGGCTTGAAGGAAAGAACATGGGCTGTTGGCCAGGGTGTGGGTGAGCTGGCCTTGCCCCTCCCACCTGCCATGTAGTGGCATGGGTGAAGAAAAGATGCCCTCTTGTGGCCGGCAGGAGAGCTGACCCTGCCCCTCACCAACTGCAGCACTCAGGATACCATGCCCCGTACACCTTGCTTAGGCAGCACAGCAGAGGTGACCCTGTTGGCAGGGTGTGAAAGCAGAAGAGCTGACCCCCCTCACCTATCAGGTGGTGGGTGGTATGGGTGAAGGAAAGATGCCTTCCTCTCCTTGCCCTTCACCGCCTTCAGGAGGCAGGAGTGCTGGTCTGGGGTGGGAGGCACACATAGAAGTGGGAGAACTGGCCCTGTCCCTCACCAGCTGCAACACTTGAGAGGCCCGTGTCTTACTTGGGCAACACAAGAGCTGGCCTTTGTGGTGGTGGTGGTGTGGTGTGAACCACCCCTTGTTGCAGAGTTAGCCAGGGAGGTTCTGGGAAGCATGCCTGTTGATGAGGGAGAGGTGGCGGACTGAACAATCTAGGTGCAGAACCAGGGCTGAGTTGACTTACCCACTCATCAGCCTCACCTCTTACAACCCAAAGCATATAAAACAGGTAGAGTTCTGTCCTGGAGATTCAAAGCTGCATTATCTCCATGACACATGGCAACAACAATATTTGAACTCCAGGATATTCAAGGAGTCCCAGTGAGGGCCCAACAGAAGCCAGAGGCCTTGAACCAGATAAATGACTCGTAGCAATAAACACTTCCAAGAAAAGATGGATTAAAGAGGTCACTGTATGACTGACTCATTGTGTCACACTACAGCTTTTATGACAATATTTTTTTTCTTTTATAGGTAGGGAGGGTGCAAGGGCAGAAGGAAGATATGAATGAAAGGATGGGGAGATCAATGGGACCAGGATGCATCATGTAAAATATACAATCAATAAAATGTCTTTAAAAAAAAAAGGGTTGTCTTGGTCATGGTGCCCCTTTCACGGCAATAAAAGTGACTAAGGCATGAAAATAAATGTGAAAGTGTGTGTGTACACACACATATAATATCCTACAGAAAGCAAGAAAATGACACAAAATTTTATAATTAGCTGCCATCTTAGCAAATGCAGACCATTTACAATTTTAATCACAAGGATTTATACATTGTCATACACTATCCACCAAAATTTCCCATCATTTTTTAGATATGACAGTAAGTCAATGATATTTTTGAAAAAAAAGCTTTATTCATTTATGCAAAGATAGTATCAGCAATAGGTAATAGGAACACACTTTTAAGTTTAAAATTAATCATTCATTTTGAAAGGCTCAGTACTTTTCTTTTTCCCTTCTCTTAAATACTTGACTCCAACAAAACAGCAGATGAAAGTTTATTCCCTTACTTTTCCTTAAGTCATACATCAACAATTACAATTGTTTTTTAGAATTTAGGATATCATTCATAGTAAGCTGGAGATTTAATCACAGAGTGGTTCATGCAAGACTATTAACACAAAAAAAAATACAAATGGGGGAAAAGGGACAAACAAAAGAACAAATTTCAGCATACTTCCTAGTTTTCTGGTACACTGACCTCTTGGAGACTTAAAAAGATTTTGTCCTTCAGATACAGAAATTAAGAGTTAAGATCATTATGGACACTTGTGGCATGACTCTATTTGAAGGAAAGGGCTAATACAAGGCACTGTAAAACTCATGTACATGGCAGGTCAGACGGTATCTATCAATTGTTCCCTTTAGAAAGGTACCGTCCCAGAGCTACATTCCTAAGGCTTAGCCCCTGAACTGCTCACAATTGTTACTTGCCTACTTATACCATGGAACAAATCCTGACAGAATGGGAATACAGGTTGAAAACAACTGTGGGCACAAAGAGTCTCTCTGCTGTTACAATATATAATATCCAATTAAGAGATCATCTAATTTAAAAACAGATTAACTACCACATTCTTGGGATACAATTATGAAACAAATTTTGTGGTTTAGAAATGTCAAAATTATCTACTTTGACTGTTTTGGACATATTTTACTTTACAAAAGGAAATACAAGAGACTAACAAAAATAAAAATCTATTTACTCTGTAACAACTTATATTTTGAATGTTTTTATAAAAATTTTTCAGATACTCTGATTAAATTTTAAGTGACATAAAAAATCTTCAGCACTCTTTAATGCCAGTATTTTGCACAATTTTAAGACAGCCATTGAGTTTAGCATTTTAAGAAAAAAAGAGTATTAACTCACTGAGAATAGCTTATACATCTAGCATAGTTTAGTTTGTCTCGGATTCTTTAAACAAAATTACACCCAGAATTTCAGATATCCTAATTACCATCCCAACCAAATAAATAAGATATGTGCATTTGTGTGGATTCTAGCAAAAGGGTAAAATATTTTGTATAAATGTAAGACCCACTGATTGGACTATTAAGAATCTGTTTCCTGGGCTTAGATAAGGAAGACTTCAATAAACTATATACTGAGTTCCACTGATTAAAAATGCAGTTCTAAAAATTCTGCTCTTGTGGCAAATGTTTAGACAAATAATAAATGTAAAGCACAATATTGTAAATACTGTACTGTTCAGGTACCTGTTGAGAAGTGAAATGCTTGCTTGTAGCCAAACTATCAAAATTCCGACCTTCCAAAATAGGTTTATAAAATCCTTTTTCTTGAAAATTAGTACTTGCTTTTGAACTCTTAAAATGCCAATTTTAATTACAAGTCCTTAAGTCTTAAAAGTTATTCCTTTCAACTATTTTTCAATTATTTGAAAATTATTTTTTATCTTTTTTACTTGCAATTATTTTTCTTTCAACTATATAATGAACACAAAATCAGTTTCTATTTAAACATCAAATTAACACATTCAACATAAAACTGGGCAATCTAATATAACTTTTATACAATACAAAGTCTGAGTGTGATTTGTCAAAAATTCTGTAATAGTAAAACCTTTCCATCTCTTTTAATATTCAAAACTAACAACCTTGCGAGACTAGAAAGTTAGCAGAGATGATCAGATTTAAGGACTGCCCGGCTTCTTCTAAAATGATGCACTCTTTTGTCCTAGAAGAGACAAAATTATTTTAAATCATTGAAAATTCCATACTATCACTACTGAGCTAAAATTATGAAATATGTTGGTTTAAGTTTAAACATAGTAAATGAGGAAAGAGGAGGCAATTGGTGGAACTCTGTCCAACAATAAATGCACCAAATGGTAAGGCTTTGTTAAAAGACAAAATTAAAAAGGAATTCCAGTAAACTCAGAAATGTTACGATTTGTACCATTTTAAATAATTAATGATTTAGCAGCTGAACCAAAGACAGTAGAATATTGTACAATTGTTAAAACTACTCTTTAAATTTTTTCCCTAGTATTTATTTTGTGTGTACAAGCATGCATGCAGGAGGCATGCATGGCCCATTATGTGGAGGTCAAGAGGACAATGTGCACTGTCAGTTTCTCTCCTACAACATATATAGGTTTCACGGATTAAACATAGGTCACCAGGTTTTGTGCCAACTGCCTTTATCTGATGAGCCACCTTGCCAGCAAAACAAAATAAAAACCATCTAACAAAACAACAAAATAACCCAAAGGCTTGGGTCTGGAGAGATGGTCTGGTGGTTTCAGCTCACAAACTGTTAACTCTAATTTCAAAGGATCAGACACTCTTATCTAGATTCTGTGGGCATCAGGCACATATGCAGTACAGACATACACACAGACAAAGCACCAGTATACAATTAAAGAGAGAATTAAAACTCTCCCAACAGAAACAAACAAACCCCTATTTTTTTATTAACTATTCCATCTGACAGAAATCATATTTGAGAACTGTACTGTATTTCAATTTGAAATCCTTCATTTTTATTAAAAAGCTCTAAGTCTTGTATATTTAAGGCTTAGCTTTAATCTGAAGATGTATCATTCTTTATGAAGCAAAGGTAAGAATAGTTAAAATGTTTTCTCAAGGGGTTGGTCATAGGAACACTCTCCCCCATTGATATGAAGACCTAAAGATTGCTCAAATCTCTTATATAAGGTATGTTTGCAAATACACTGGTTATCTTTCTGTATACTTTAAATTTCTCAATTTTTCTACCTAATGTTCTATGTGAACATTCTACCTAAATCTCTATGTGATTGGAGAGGAGGCTCATTTGGCAAAGTATTGCTGTGCAAGCCTGAGGACCTGAGTTCAGGTCCCTAGCACCCCCTTTAAAAGGCTAGTATTAGAGGTGTACTATATAATCATAGTGCTGGAAGAACAGAAACAGGCAAATCCCTCTGGCATAGATCAGCCAGCCTAGCCAAATGGACAAGCTCAATATTCAGTGGAAGATCCTGTTTCAAAAAGGTGGTGAGACACCAATGTCTACCTGACTGCTACAAGTACCCTCACATGTACACAGGTACACACATTATCAGGTACATGTCAATAGAATAACATCCCACTTAGGTTGGGACCTAAGACACAAATGTACACATTTTTAGACGTTAGGTAGGAATTAAAATTACGGGGCTGAAGTTAAAAGAATGATGATGGAAATAGACACGGCATTCAATTTCAATAAAAACCAGTATTTAGTTGCTTATGATAGGTCTGTGGCTCCATGTGCTTGTTCTGTAATCAGGAGTACAATAGCTTAGGATCCGAAGAATGCCAACATCTACTATGGGCCTCCACACAAATATTCTGACTTATCTGTGCATGCATGCATGCATGCATGCGCACGCACACACACACACGTAGCAGACAACAGCAGGTTTCTCTACTAATTTCTAATTCCTAACTAGATGGAAAGAAATCTCTAGAGTTCAAAGGGAAATATTCTTTCTTTCCAACACAAGGTAAAAACTCAATTTTGAAGACTTCTATTTTCAAACATCATTTAGCACATTTTAGAACTTTGGGGCAAGCTGACTGCTGCAGTGACATGCTGCACTGTGTAGAAAAAAAATTTTAAATGAGCATCTTTTACTCATTATGTTGCAAACACACTGTAGATAATAACTTTCACTGCCTAGTAAGTTAGAAATGGAAATAGGCAAGAGGTTTATTTCTGGAATGGCTAAGACATTTTAAAATTTGACTTATGGTTGTACAGATAAATAAATACTAAAAATTCATTGAATTATATACTTTAAATAAGTTGTATGACATCCATATTACACACCTATCCTTTATATATTATCTCAAAATATCTTCCCCAGAATGTAGTATTCTCTCCAATGAACCAATTAATAGACTTCATATTTGAACTCAAAAGTAAAAGAACCTTAGAGACTTTGTGTTCTACTCATTCTCATTTTACATTTATTAAAGTCTTGGGACTGGAAGAACAGCTCAGTAGTAAGGCATGTGATTACAGCATGGCCAATTTCCTGAGTTCTAACCCTCAAATAAAACCACCACGTAGAAGCAAAACTCTAGACCTAAAATTAAGTGATCTGTGCAATGTGAACATATTAGAAACCCAAACTTTGTTGAATTCTCACTTGGTTATTTTCAACCTCCTCAGTTTTACTCCTTTTCATTCTCCACAATATTCAAATCTATTAACCAAGTAGTTCTTTTGTTCTCTTTAATCCTACAGCTATGAATTACATTCTGATTTCAAATTTTTCTGCGTTGTCAAGTAATTATTTTATCTGCCAACTCTCATGAACCTTTTATACTACTAACCATTTCTCTGTAGTTTGTGTGCATACTATGTAAGTCTAAGGTTAACATCTGGAGTCTTTCTGATTGCATTCTACCTTTTCTCACTGAACCCACAGATTACTGGTAGGGACTGACCTTGCTACACAGCTTGCTCAGGATCCTGTCTTTACCCCTGAGGACTGGAATTCTAGGCAGGCTGCTAAACCCATCTGGCATTTATAAATTCTGAGTTCAAATTCACACTTGCTCAGTAAGTGCTTTACTCACTGAGCCAGTGCCCAACAGCTCATCAACTCAACCTCCTGAAAACTTTTTTTCCCTAAAGAAAACTTTATTATTTTAAGATTTGCACAGCATCCAAATACTCTGGGTAAAACTCAAACACTAAAATGGTTTACCAAGGGTTTATATAATAAACACTTCAATTAATCACTATAAAAATATATGTACTACAGAAAAAACTAAGTTTCAATATTAACACACACATTCTATTCTGCATACTATTCTTGTCCTACCTTGAAGTAATCATCTTGAGTAACAAGAGAATTTCTCAGTCTGTTCTCAGGATTAAATAGACAAGAGACCACCGTCTGTATGCTTCGGTCCACAGACTTCTGAAACACAGACGTTTAAAGACTACATCTTTCATTCACTGCTAATGGCTTTTTGAAAGTATATTGAGCATATACACTTCTAAGAAATTCTTTTATAACATCAAATTCTTACCATTTGTTCGCTTTATATATAGTCCTCCTAAATTTAGTATTTTAGCAAGTTTAAAAATTTATATTTATTAAAACTGTATTTTTGAAGCATTTATTTTTCCATATTACAGAAAGAATCCAACATTTTAATATTTCAAAAAATATTCAGGAAGATATGTTAGTATAATTGTTCATCAAGCTATTTTAATTTTATGTGTTTATTTATTTGTGTGAAGTTTGTTCTTTTTGAGGCAGGGTCTTATGTAACCCTAGGCTTGCCTCAAACTGGCCATATAGCCAATGCTAGTTTTGAACTCCTTATTCTTCTACCGCTATACCTCCAAAGTGCTGGGATTACAGTTGTTCATCACTATGCCCTTATTTTCAAATTTTAAGACTGTGCATCAAATAAGGCAATTTGTTATCCTATTGTTCAGTAGTTTTCTTATAGCACAGATGAGGGATCTGTCCTGTGAAATTTTTCATTTTTCCCAACGTGTCAATTGCTTTATTCAATAATATGAATTAGAATTCTGAGATGAGAATATGACTAAAGAAATAAGTCAGGAGGTGGTGGCACACACCTTTAATCCCAGCACTCTGGAGGCAGAGGTAGGCAGATCTCTGTAAGTTCAAGGCCAGCCTGGTCTACAAGAGCTAGTTCCAGGACAGGCTCCAAAGCCACAGAGAAACCCTGTCTCTAAAAACCAACGGGGGGGGGGGGCCACTATTTAATTCGGTATCAAACAATTACCATTTTAAAAATATATAATTTCACAGACTACCATAAATAATACATATTACTATTTAGCTAAATAAAAATTTTTAACTGTAAAAGACATGGCAAATAATCATACTAACTGTAGAAATCTGGCCACTGAATTCTACCAAATCATACTATAGACCAGTAACTAAAATATGATTTAAGAAAAATGCAATTAGAAAAGACGATCCAAGAAAGGAATCAGAAACTCCAAGTTTTGAGTATCTGAGGTATCATTTCCTTGTACATTAATTGCAGCGGTAAGTTCCCTGAGCTCTGCAAGTTGTAACTTTCATTTTTAAATCTGGGCAAATAGGTCAAAGAATCATTAATTAATATAAAATAAAATTTAAAAACAGTAAATAAAATTAGATGTTTGCCTTTTGTGAGCCATTTCCAGAGGCTGGAGTAGCTTCATGAACTGAACATTCATTTGACAAAACTTCAGTTCCTGAGTCAACTTCACTGCAATGGTAGTTAACAGTTGTATAAGCCTAAATTTAAAACGATAAAAGTATAATTAACAAGAAACAAGATACATTTCTAAGTCATTCTGAAGGCTATTTCAGAAATTGTTTTAAACTAAATGTTTAAAACTACACTGTTTTAAAATGAAGTCTTTTATTTTAAAAATGCCTGTCAACATCAAAGTCAGTAGGAGTTGAAGTAACAATAATATGTAGTTAACGGAGTACTGAGAATTCTCTGTTTTTCATATATCCAATCTTTATCTTTATGAAAGTTAGTTAACAGAAGCTCAGGTGGTTTACTGATAGATGGCATCACCTTATATTCCTTTTATAAAATAATATTTAGGGTAAAATGTTTCTCTTCTATATATTTTTGATTAGTTGCAAACTCAGGCAGATTCTAGAAAAACCACATGCTAACTCTGAATCTAATATTTAATAATATTTTCCTTGATTATATATCATGCCAACAAGTAACCAAAAACTTATTGTTGATTGGGCACACAATAATGTGAAAAACAAAAAGCAGGTTTTTTTCTCATGTGAGTATAAAACTGAGATAACAAAGTAAAATACCTAAAATAAAGTAATTAGAATATTTATAAACCTACACAATAAGGCAAAATAAGTATTAGAGAAAACTGTAAGACTAAGTAAGCAGAGTACATTCAGCTAATTCATTTTACCGGAGGTATAACATAACTCCTCTGTTCCCCAGCCGGCCACTGCGGTGGCATCTTAAGAAAAGAAAACAAAGATTATTTAAACACCTACACATCTTTTCAAAAAAGGTAATAAGACAATGTTATAGTCTTTATCATGCTGACTCTTAATTTCTTATTACAAAACAGAACAAAAGATAGGTACCTTTATGCTACTATCTGCATTTTTCAATTTCTTCCATATATAAAACTCACATTTTCTCAATTGGAAGTTGGCATTCAGAAAAATTAAAAAAACAGGAGCACTTGGAAATTATTACTACAGCTACAGTTGTGGCTCATAAATATGGTCACATCTATTGGAAGAAATTCGTGGAACTACTATTCTATAGCATCTAGCAAAAGTATACACTATCAATCAAAATTTGGTGCTCTAAGTACTGGGTAATATTTTTATTTCAACCTATCTTATAAAAACTTCTAAGTCAGCATGGATTTTTAAGATATTTGACAGAAATAAAAGAATGTATGTTGAAATAAGAACAGAAGATACGGAATCTTCGTAAACAGTCTCAACAAATGTTTTTTCCTTGTCAAAATAATATTGTCTAAATAATATTGATGTCTGAATTATAGACTAATTCTACTTCCCTTTAATTTTAGATCATTTATATAGCACACTATGTAGTAATCGTATATAAAGAAAGACCAAAGCAGTATCTCCAAGTTATTTTACATTCCCTTAAATTATCTGATTATTCAAGTCCTTCTCAGTACTCAGGGAACGCTGGAGAAGAGGAATCAGAGGGGATAGAGAACACCGGGACAATAAGGCCCTATATAAATCAACATAATCAAAGCTCTTAAGAACGCATAGGGACTGAGGTTGCATGCACAGACTTGCACCAGCTCCTCTGCCCATGTATTATGGCTTCCAGTTTAGTTATTTATGACATTCCTGAGTGTGCAAACAAATGGATCTCTAATTCTTGTGACTTTTCTTGAGCTCTTTTTCCTTTTGTGTTTTTTTCTCCCTGGCTCAATTTTGCTATGGTAGTTTTCTCTAATATACTTTATTCCTCTTGTGGTGGACTGAAAGAGAATGGCCCCATAGGCCCATATACTTGAATGCTTGGTCACCAGGAAATGGCACTATTTGAAAGGATTAAGAGGTGTAGCCTTGGGGGACTGGAGAGATGGCTAAGTGGTTAAGAGCACTGGCTGCTCTTCCAGAGGTCCCACATTCAATTCCCAGCATCAACATGGCAGACAATTATCTGCAGTTCAAGTTCCAGGGGATCCGACACCCTCTCCGACATGTATGTAGGCAAAACACCAATGCACATGGAATAAAAATAAATAAATCATTAAATAAAAAAAAAAGAAAGGGGTGTGACCTTGTTGGAAGAAATGTGTCACTGGGGGTGGCCTTTGAGATTTTCAAAAGCCCAAGACAGACAGGGGCTGTCTGTTCCTGCTGCCTATGGATCCAAGATGTAGAACTCTCAGCTACCTCTCCAGCACTATGTCTGCCTGCATGCTACCATGCTGATACGGGACTAAACCTCTGAAACTGTAAGCTGGCCTCAATTATTAAATGCTTTCTTTTATAATAATTGCTGTGGTCATGGTGTCTCTTCACAGCACTAGAACACTAAGACACCTTATAAGCCTGTTTATAAGGAGTAGATCTGGATAGGATGAATGGGGGCAGGGGCTGTGAGGAGTAAAGAAAGGGGAAACCACAATCGGGAAATATGTGTGCGAAAAAAGTCATTTTCAATTAAAGGAAAAAAATACCTGATAATTATAAACTGGCAGCTGATACCCAGTGATGACCTGAACTGGTGAACTTGGATAAGGAGGGTATGCCTGAGAATAGAGTTCACAGAAAAGTTGGATTAATACAATAAATTTGAGAAAATGAGGAGTATCATTCACAATACAACAAAAAAGTATTTTTTCTCTTTTCATATATATATATACATATAAGCAAATCAGAAATCTAAAAAATTGAAATATGAGGAAAATATTTGTCAAATGATAACCCACTACACAGGAAGGAGGAAAAAGACAACTTAAATCACTGCTTTTCTAAGCCAAAATTCCCCTTTGGAAGTTGCTATACACTAATTATACATACAGTTCTAATAAGGGAGTTCAATAAATAACATCTTCTGTTTCTTTATGAAAATATTGTCACAGAATATGTACTCATAGCAATGTTAACAGAACAGAAAAGCTCTAACTTTTCTACAGCTTCTTTTAATTTCTGAAAGTTAAGGTAAATACAATCTGAAACTGGAGAAGTGATTAAATCATTGTTTTCTGACCTGGGCTGGTTCACCCTTCCTTAGGCAACCTGGTGGTCCCCTGCTCCTGGGAGGTTACCATATTGATGCTGAACTTAGTATGGACACCCACACCTGATCAGCATAGTGCACTATAACCCAGAACTCCTGGACTCAAGCGATCCTCCTGTCTCAACTTCCAGAGTAGCTGGGACTACAGGCGAGGTCCACCACACCCGGATAAATCATTGTTTTCTATACTTCAGTATTTATTGACTAAAATCAAGTAGTAGCAACACACAAATGCCTTATATCAGTAATGATTCATAATAAATATTAGGAGTAAGTATAGATTTTCTTCTAAGACATATTTTGAACAAGAAAAATAAGGTAAGATGCAGTCTATATTCCACATACAAAAAAAAATGATTTTACTATTTTTTTGCCAAAAACAGTCTCTACAATTGAAAAGCATAAAAGTAAAACATACCAAGAATGTTATTTAGCATAAATAGGCATAGTAAGCAGGAAAATTTAAATATTAACCCAGCTCAAATTAAAATTCAAGAAACTTATGATTTATAGATAAAACCTATCAATTTTAGAGCTAAAATAAATCCAGGCGTCAACAACCTACATGAGGAGGCATTTGTAATTCACTACAGGTCAAACACAGATACTGATCTTCTTTGGGAAGAACCAATTAAGAGGACATGCAAAGCTGTTCCTGAACATTTAAAGAACTTCTTCAACTTGAAAAAAAAGAGGCAATAGTAAAATTCTTCTATATATATTTTATGTGTCTGAAATATAAACTTTGGGAAAAAGGAATATATCTCATGTGGCACCAAGGTTCTACGACAAACGCTTACAAACTATACAGAGGCAGATTTCATCTCAGCATGAGGAAAACAGCAATTAAGAATGAGAATAAACAAAAGAAATTCCTCCCATTTCAAGTATTCCAATAAGGACTGGACTGTATTACACTTAACATCCAAACCATGCATATGATTTCAGAGCTTAAAAAGACTAAACAAACCTAAGAACAAGAATACAGGCCGTTATTACCTGAACATACTGAGTTATAGGATTCATCATGGTTGGAGGCTGCATGTATGTCTCAGCATTTGGACTACTCCAAACACTCTGAAACTGTGGTGGTGGAGGAGGATTAAAAATCAAAGGACGTGGCTGCACATGATAAGTACCTTTAAAAGGAACAAGAGAAAAACTTACATAGTGTTCTCTGAAAACCTGGACAGTTTTATCAAGAACAATTTCTGGTTTTACTCACATAAATTTTGTTTCCTGATTGCAGGGCCCAGTTTCAGCTTTTTACCATGAAAATTTATCTGTGACTAAAAACAGTTAACAAATGATAATTTAATCCTTCATTTCCAAGACTTGGGCAACTACTACTGTGCTCAGCCTTAGAACTCTAATCAAAGCATCCCAAAGCATCAAGTTAAATTTTGTAAAGCCTTTCATCCCATTTCTAACTCTGTCTCTAGTTGATAAAGCTAGAGGCCCCCCCAAAAAGCGGCTTTGTCAAACTACGTAAAATTACATTTTGGCCACGTGGTGGTGGCGCACACCTTTAATCCCAGCACTCTGGAGGCAGAGGCAGGCAGAACTCTGAGTTCAAGGCCACTCTGGCCTACAGAGCTAGTTCCAGGACAGCCTCCAAAGCTACAGCAAAACCCTGTCTCAAAAGACAAAAATTAAAAGAATTTTTTTATTTTAAACAGAAAAAAAGCCTATTTTTCTCTGTATTTACATAAGACTGAATATCCAGTACTTCTCAACTCTAAAGCACTGCTAAAGAAATTTTCTGTAAGACTATTACTTACTTCTACTATCTTCTGCACATCCACGTCATTATAAAATGAAACAAATCCATAGCTAGAAAGCAGATAAATGAGATACAAAATTGTAACTATATAGTACCATGATTTACACCATCTAATATTCTATAAAATAGCAGAAATGGTGATAATGGAAGATGAATATACTGTCATAAATATGTTTAGACATAGACAACAGATCCTCTGTAAATACCACTTTGTTTTCTTAGTCTAAAGTCAGAATGGGCTAATATTCATTAACAAAGATCATGTAAGGCAAGACAGCTAAAATTTAAGATACGGTGAAATGTGCAAAAGGAATCTAATAACCCATGTTATTAGATTTGTGTGAAGTTAGGAAATACCAAAATACAAATACTAGGAAAATGAACTGATTAAAAAAGCCTTTATCCATAAAATAATCAAAAGGAACAAATTTTATTAATGTTAGAATGCCCACTTTGAGTCTTGTCTGATATCCAGGCATCTCTCCAGCCATGCTCAGTTCTATAAACAGTAGCTATAGCAAATATGTTTACATACCCCTTTGACACACCAGTTCGATCAGTGATTATCTTCACTTCTTTTACTGAGCCATATCTGGTAAAGAAACTCCTAATTTCGGTTTCATCCATCTATGAGAATAAATGAACTCCAAGAGTAAAAACTAAGCATTCAAGATTTCTAATTGTATTGTGAAAAAGAGATTTGATTATATGCAAGTCAATCTCTGGTATTCCAAAATTACTCTATTTTGGTGAGTGTAGTTTTAGTCTCTATGGGTTAAAACCAAACTGCAAAAAATTTACAACAACGAAAAACCCTTTTAGGTCTACACATCAAATCCCATCATCCACAACATTTTAAATAATTTTTTGAGGGTCTTAACTGTTGCCAGGGCTCCTCTTGGAAGTCCAGGACTCAAGCACTACTCCCACTTTTTCTCACCCAAACACTCCCTGGCTTCGCAATGTATTTTAAAATGCAAACAAAATATGAATACAATACCCTAACATCAATTCCACCAACAAAAACAGTGTTTGGCATGATTTTGCCTTCTGGCAAAACATATCCTTGACTGGTGGCTGCTGATGAAGACTGGGTGCTGGCCTCCCTGGAGACAGCTGAATTTGAAGTCTCAGAAGTTGTGGCAGACTGTAATTTAGAAAATAAACAATTTAAAAAATACATATACACAAGTGCATATGACGAACTATATAAAAAATATACCTTTTGTAGTTAATGTAAGTTAGTGTTACTCTAAATCACCTACCTATACAGCTTAGTTTAGCTTCAGGGACAACAATTAGCAGAGAACTGGTGTGGAAATTAAACAAAGAATGCAGTACTTTCTGAAATATGATGCTTCTCACAGTCATCTTTTTTAAAACAGTGTGTTAATCTGAGTAAGAATAGTCACCTCTTGAAAAGATTAGGGGTTGTGGCCTTGGAGTAGGTGTGGCCTCTTCAGAGTTGGGCTTCCAGATTTCAAAAGCTTAAGCCAGCTCTGAGGCTATTTTGTGTTCCTAGTTAAGAACAACCTTATTCCTTTGAACAGCAAATTCCCTTCAACAATTATTTCATGACACTGAAATGGCAGGGAGTAAAAAGATTAATGTTTTCCCTTCTTTTAAAGTCATACGATTTTACTTTTTTTTCTAAGATACATATGCTATGTATCTTCAACTCTTTAGAACTTGACTAGATTTGCTTTCCTAACAATCTGTCCAACTCTTCTCAATTTTTCATTCAAAAATAAATTCAAAACATAAACAAAGGTTCTGTAATTTTTATAGGACTCCCCTCCTCAATTGTCTCTCCTTTTATGAATGAAAATAGGCTACATTTATTTGATAAATATTTCTTTATTTCTGATGTCTGTAACACAAGGCATAGACGCTTTTTCATTTAGAGGTGTTATACTTCACCAGATAACTGTGTCTGAGTCTAAGTAATAAATGCACTGATTCTCAGTGCTTCAGGGGCACTTAATATCTAGAGATATTTCTGAATATCACCAGTGAGGTAAACATCTGACATCTGGTAGGTAGACAGTCAGGGATATTACTTCAATATCCCATAATACCAACTACAACCACCACCGCAGCCAACAAAGGACTGCTGGTACCAAAACCTGTATAAGAATGTGCTGAAAAATTGTTATGTGTGATATCCCTAGAATTGAAGAGAAACATGATTGTTGGGGAAGAACTTGATTTTTCGTTCTTCAATAAAGTACCTGTTTTCAGGATCTTGATTTCCTTGCTTGAAAATTAAACAATTAGAAAAGAGCTCAAATGTCTTATTATTTTCTTTATATAAAAGTTAAGATAGGTGTTTGAGAAAAATTTAATAATGAGAAAAATAAAGCATCAAGTAGTATAGGACACTTGATTTGGGCTTAGGCTCCTAAGTATAAAATTTGTCTCATCTTAATAGTGTAATGATGTATTAAAGGCGGCACACCATACCCTGGCCCTTATCCAGTAGGTGGCACTCAAAGCTAACAAAGCAAAAGTACTCATTTTAAGAAGCCCTGGCCCACAGGCAGAGATGCTACTGTATGCTTCACTTAGTTTATTAAAACACTCACAACCAATAGATGCTTTTTAAAACATGATCAAAACCACTCTTCAACCAAATAATCATTAAGTCAGAATTTAATGTTCAAGATAGTGTAATTTTTGAACTTTATTTATTTAGAGACAGGGTCTTACTATGTAACTTTGCCTGGCCTGAAGCGTGCTATGTAGATGAGTCTGCCCTCAGAGTCATGGATTTCCACCTTCCTTTGCCTTCTATTGTCTATTTTTAAAGACAGTGTCTCATGTTGCCAAGGTTAGCTTTAAACTACTGAGGCACTCAAGTGATCCTCTTGCCTTAGGCACCTGGCCCCTACTGCCTCCAGTAGTTGAGATTATCCACAAAATATACTGAGCTTGGTAAAAAAAAAAAAAAAAAATCCACTAATAAATGTAATAGCATATTGAAAACAAACTATTAAGTATAAGACAATTTATCAATTCTACCTCCAAATGAATTGAGAAATATTAAGATACTAACAATGAACTTGGAAGCCATCACACATCAACTCTCCACAGTACAATAACATTATATTTGAATATCCACATCAAAAATAGCTAGAAGCTGAGAATATTGTTACTAAAAATTCCAAGATAATGTCTTTGAAATCAATTTAATCACCATGGTAAGCAAATTACCATGTATGTTACAAATACTGCCCCAGATAGAAAGTCTGATGTCATCAAATTTCTAACTCTAATGGAGAAAACTGTTCACAAGTACTTTACAGTACTGTGATTTTAACTTACTGAGATTGACAAGTAGTAATTTCACAACTAAAATATTTACATGAAATTGTCCAACCTTATTTTAACATCGTCATAAATTATATAGATTTTCTTCCTTTACCATTAAAATGGGGAAACCTGTGTAATTGAAATGCAACATATGTGACAATGGCTACCGACACGCTCGATATTGTTCCCTGGCTCTATAGCCTGCCCAAGCTAGCCTAGAACTCGCATCTCCTCCCGCAGCCTTTTCTGTGCTGGGATTGTAGCAGAATTGCTTTCCGGTTCAGGCCGCCAGCTGCCTGGTTCCCGCTCCCGCACGCGCATGCGCACAAGCCTACCCAGAGCCACCACCTGGCCTCTCAGGTGCCACTTCCTACAAGGCCTAGCCAATGGCGGCCACAGGGCTGCGCCAGCGGGCGGGGCA